CAAGTAAGTGCAGAAAATACTTAAGATGGTCATCTTTTCGGACTTAATCTATCCGTACCCTAGTGACTCCTACTATGCTGCAGCTCATGTTTTTTCCTCCTCTTTCCCCCACCGCGTGTCTAAATTACTGATATTAAGATATGGCTGAGAACTCTTGTCTTCTTCGACAGTATCGATTTGATATCCAATGACCATCGGATTTTGGTGTGGTAGCTGTTCGAGATTGGTGTACATGTTCTACCCAAACCTCCTTTAACTCCTCCTCCGCATTCTCCTTCATGACCCTTATGTTCTCCACCTTTCCCATCGGCATCAAATCCTGGTAGTCTTTCTTAAACCGACCGTTGTGGTCGAAGCGATCTTGATCTTGCTAGCATAAATGTCTGTCCAGGTAGTAAGAGACCTACTTATGGCTGTAAGCTGGTCACGTTACCCATGTTGCTGATTTCGCCGCGTTCGTCGCAATCCAGATCGTGCTGAAGATGTTAAGGCCGGAAACGGATTTTAAAAGCGGCAGTTATGCAGGCATCTGATAGTAGAGATTTCGAGGTCGTGCTGCGCGGAAATGGGGGGACCTTAGATGTTGTTCAGGTACAAGTCGTTCATGATATTGGTTGACGCATTGTCGATCAAGATCATTAAGTACAGCCTTAACCCTGATATTTTTGTCACTTATTGCAAGATTGAAAGGCTAATCCGCAAACACGCTCTTTGCAGATATACCCTGACATATTTTCATCCGTAAATTTACATTACGCAAATAATTGCCCGGTCCTACTTTCACGTTGGGTATGTAGCGGAGTACCAACTGCTCCTCTGTCTTTTTGTTGTCACGGCGCGGTTTCGACTAGTCAGAAGGAGAGTGTATGTATATCTTCAGAACCCTCAGCGTTTGCTGTGAAAGATATGGTGATGCGGGCCTGTAAGACAGGTATCATTAGTTTATTTTATAATTATAAGAAGAAAAATGAAAAGATTAACCAAGTTTTTTGCTCCTCGACCGCTGATTGAGAAATCCATTATATCGTTGCATGCTGCTAAAAGTTCTGTAAAATATGGGCCAGCTATCAAAATATATCTTAAACAGAATCAAACCAAGCTTACTAGTACCGGGCCCAAACCGTCTTCAGCATATTCAAAATACCGTCTAAATCTTCCAAATATGTTGCTCTGCCTTCGAGTGGATGCAAATAGCACGAATTTTGTGAAGTGGATGAACCTTTGGAGCTGCCCGTAAGAGAAATTGATGGCAACATCTGAAAATAATGAGTCTTTTTGCAAATTCTAGAGCTTTTGCGCAAATCATATCCTTGGTGGTGATGTTTACACGATGCTGGCACTACAGCACCCACACGACAATTTCCACCTTAACTACTGGGTGATAGAAAAGGAGCTGAATCGTGGAGCTGAGGCTGCTTGATTGTATTGCCTCCAGCTGCGCACTCTTCTTGTTGATGATGTTGACAATAGATATATGTTTTAGGCCCTTAATAAATTTAAACATGTTTGCCGCACAGTCAGCTAAAGCCTGATTGCTCGTGCTGTGACTTTTCTCCTTATGTTTGCATTTGTGCAGGCGTTGAGATTTGGTAAGTCGAGATTGCGACATCTGTGTGTGTTGCGAAGAGTGAAATAAATTCAGCAAAATCTCGCTGGACCTTCTTCTTAGCAAAAAAACTGACCCTAACAAAATACCAGGATGTGTATGTGTACATGGCCTTGAGGCAAAAACGTTCCCAGTTTTATAAAACAGGAGGCGAGGATCTGTCTTGGGAATCTCTCGGATCTCTGGGGATCTTGCTGTCGAACTTCAACAAATTTAAGCTTAAGGCTGGAAGCGGAGTGGGTTGCTCTGGTGATTTTTTTACATCTTTATCCTATAATTAGGAAATCGTTAACCCCCTCAATTTTTCGATAGTATTCCTTCGCTTCGAAATGTCACAATATGATTCGATCATTTTTTTGGCATGCATTGACTTCAAAATATCTTTATCAACTGATTTGAAACAGGTTTTGAACAGATTTAGCCAGATTTCATTTGTTCGTTTATAGCCTTCAGTAAAATAAGTGGCGCAGGTCAAGTACTACACTTTTTATACTTCAAGCTGCCGAGGACACATAACAGCGCAATATCTCACATAAGTATGTAAGCTGGCGCCTTTGCAGCAACGATTCATCATGACTACGCTAGAAAGAAGATGTATGTGCACTAACGAGTGGTAACATAATGTTTTGAATAACCATAGAGCAATTACGATATGGCTTTCCCCACGTTCTTGCATTTTGAGTGATTTTTGCCTGTTCTTTATTTGTATAGATTCGTCCAATTATCCGCCGTTCCTAATCGATACATTACGAAAAGTTAGCCCGCATGAAGGGTATGCAGAATACATGACGATATTTTCGACTAATTAGACCGTTTAAAGAGCGCGCATGAAGCCAATTCGGCTGCTACATTGTAGCATGATTATGTTGAAGCATGGCAACAGAGGTGCGAATTTTATGTCAAATCCCGTTGCTAATGGTGGCGAAAATGTTAACCAGGTGAAACAGAAGACTGTACACTCGCGGAATCAAAATCTTTATGTAGAGATACAAGATCAAAACGCTTAAAATGTGAGAAGTCTCGTTCTGCTTCAAGCTGAACAAATATTCTGCTTATTTATGGCCTTCTTACGTAAAGTGGGTCCTATCACTTCTATACTTCCACATCGTCTTGCATTATGGTCTCCCTTCTGCAACGGCTGCATCTCTTGATCATGGGTAAATTTAAGGCTGCTACCATATTCTCGAATTCTGACGGGTTCCTTTGCATAGATGATGCGGTAATTATATTCGTTTGAGTAGATATAGATGGCTTCTCACGCACTTGCACAACTTTTAGATCTATAACATTACTTTTCGTAGCTGGTGCGTCGAAAATGATGTCTAACAAACGATGTTTCTTGCGCAATAGAAGCATCTTGAATCACATTTTGCCACCGCTTGTAAATCGCGGACATCGTTACGTGCTTGTGATTGACTATCCGAGAATATGTATCTTGGTGTGAATGAGCCACCAATTCTGATGGAAATCGTCGTCCTAGTGATTGCATATCCGTCTGTTATAAAATTTGGCTAATTTTAATAGTGACGGAAACAATATGTGCGTCCTAACTATTTTTTGCCACGTTATGAAATTATGTACAACACGGATATTCCCGGGTTGTCTTCCTGACGTCTCAGTAGTCCCATTTTGCACTCTTTTTCAGATATTTCGTGTACGTTCTCCGCAGAGATACCACCGAGACCTTACTTACAACATCAGCAAACATGGGCTCAAGCATCATGTCGGCAATAGCACGCTCATTATCATGTTGCTGTCTTATGCGGGCAAGCTGCCCGTCACATTTCATCTGGACCTTTGTAATCTTTATCATGAAATGGACTAAGAAGAGTGTAACTCATCAAGCACACTGAAAGTATCATAAAGCCTTATTAAAAAGCATCGTTCCTACCTGTGGAGACACCAAAAAACCTTAATGCTGCATGTGCACTATATACGCGCGACGTTGACGTGCATCCATAACGGGGTCATTGTGAATTCAAGCATCGACACACTTCTCCTTAAATAAAATGAGCAAATATAGTGCTGGTTAAATACTTAGAATGTGCGTGTGACAAGACTTTACCTTGTACTTGATCCATGTGCTTGATCGATCATGCATGATTTCTTCACGCATTTTCTCTAGTCTTGATCCTAATGCCGCTCCAGTAGAAGAATTCATTATCATGTTCCAGTCTCGAAGAAATTGGTCAACTTTTCTGCGTTTTTAAACGGTTCCAGTTGCTTAGAAAATATGTTTTTGCTGATATGCCAACAACACAGCAATTTTTTTGCTGTCGAAAATGACTTAGAAATTGCGGCCATAGGTGCAAGATACCGGTCTGTTACGAATGAATGGGATGCATTTTTATAGTCGAAAGTTCGTTTTCTAACTCTTTTATTGCCCATCAATAGTCCGTCGCTGTTTCGCATCTTACAAAATTATATCGCATGACAAATAAGGCACTAGGGGGAGGTATCCCGACCACATGCAATAGAGGGAAACCGTTTAGATTTGTTATATAGGTCGCAACAAGTAACTAGACACTTTCCGTGATGTGTTTGGCGCAAATACTGCGTGCTGATGGGGAACAGTGAACTGATGTGACGGCTGCATTTTCCCAGGCGTTTGCTGACGTTGACCACATCTGTGCCTACCAGCTTGTCGATTAGTGCTTGGGTAGGTCAGCGTCCAGCCAGCATCTTAACTTTGTGCAAGCGATAAACTATGTAGACCTCTTGGGCTGTCGCATGCCGGTCGGTGTCTTACTGTCTCAATCAAGTGAGAATGCGAATCGGTTAAAGGCCTACTTGACCTAAGGCTATAACGTACGCCTTAACTCTTGGCGTTCGTTTCCGCCCTTTCGATAGGCCAAATAGCGTTCATCATGTTGGGGTGTATGGCTCGAACATATTTCAGTGGCCTTCCAATTGGCTATTTCTATTCGAGTACTGTCCATACTAACGTGAAAAGACACCCCACTATGCGGTACGAGATGTATCATTTCCGTTTAGTTGCAAATGGAGGTGTCGTACAAATATTAGAAGAGAGTGTCATAAGCGGTGTGATGCAGGGGAAAATTTGATACAACATCATTTTGCAGTCGACATGGCTACATAAACATCATCATATAGAGGTAGCCATTCATGTTGTGTCATATCGAATCCAAGGGATACATCGAAAACCTGAGGAAAGATGATCGGTTTTCCAACTCTTTAGTTGTCCAACAGTATACGTAGAACGTTTCTTTATGCCGATACGCATACCTTCTACTTTCTTATAGGATCGGCTAGTCGCCTCGATATACGTAATTAGAGGCAGCACTGAGATACCTAATACACAATAATTACTCCAAGCGCTTTTGCCGATCCATTTCGCAAGTAGAGTCCAAGTGAACGGAACGCGTAGAGACTCATGACGGCGACGCTGTCGGACCTCACGCTCGATGAAAACGACTACGTGGAGCTCCTGCGCAAGCTGATGACGGTGTCGGTGCGTCGCTCGATTACTATTGAGCTGTGTCGACGCTGTCGAAGCCGAGTGATTGACCAATTTCCTAACAAACTGATTTTGATGACCAATTGATGCGCTCCTTTGGCCGTGTGCGGTGCTGTCGCTACGCAGGAACACGTTCAGAATGCGCCGGGATTAGGGCTCGTGCCGCAAGAAAACCTCGTGTCGGACTTTGTGCTGGCAGAGCTGAAGCCGTTTGTGGGCGCAGAGCTCACCGTCGATCGACTCGAGTTTGTCGCAGGACGGGGCAATGTCCTTCTTCAGTACGCGCCGCCGTCGTCGCGTGCGACGGACAAGACACTGGCGCTCGTGGGGGCGCACATGGACGTTGTGCCGGCCAATCCGGAAGGCTGGGAGCGAGATCCCTTCACGCTTACTGTTGAAGGCGACAAGCTCTATGGACGCGGCACGACGGACTGTCTCGGGCACGTGGCGCTATTGACATGTACGAGACGATGCACGACAGTCATTGAAGAGGACGTGGGGATTGCTATTGTCATTGCTACTGCTACTGCTGCTGCTACTGATGCTGCTGCTGCTGGTGGTTTGCTGTGGTTGTGGCTTCTTGTGGCTCTTTCTGTGACGGTTTTCGTCTCTGTGTTTAGTGCTGTTCCGTGAACTCGCGAGGCACAAAGTGCCGACAAAGACACAGATAGTGTGCGTCCTTATTGCGTCCGAGGAGAATGGCGAGATCGAAGGCGTGGGGGTCGAGGCGTTGATGGAAACTGGCAAAATTGACTTTATCAAGAAAGGACCAGTGTTCTGGGTCGACTGCTCCGACAGCCAGCCGTGTATTGGCACAGCAGGGGCTATCACTTGGACACTAAAGGCCACAGGCAAGCTGTTTCACAGCGGTCTGCCGAATTTGGGCATCAATGGCCTGGAACTGGCAATGGACGCAATCACAAAGATTCAGGAGTACTTTTACAAGGAGTTTGGACCAGTGGAGAAGGAAGCAGAGTACAACTACTCGTGCCCGTCGACCATGAAGCCTACGCGCATCGAATCATCGATCAACGGACTCAACCAAATGTACAACGGATGACGATCTGACGAGATTCGGGTGTGTATGTAAGTTAACGAGTGGGTGTTTGTGATCTGCTGTAGTCCACCATGGACCAAGGTTGCTGGTGACGTGCGCCTGTCTCCGTTTTACGACATGAAAGAGGTTCGTCGTGCAATCCGAGTTGGCTGGCTGCAGTAGCTAGGCACTGACGTGTGTATACGTGCAGATGGTCACCAAGATGACATCGTTTGTTGATCATCTTAACGCTAACATTGCGTCGCTAGAAGGCAACCGCGGTCCAGTGTCCAAGTACACGCTTCCGACTGAAGGCATGGCTGGCAAGCTAGAACTTGTGTTTGACAAGAGCTATTACGAAGGCATCGCGTGCTCGTTGGACTCGATTGGATACAAGTACGCACACGTCGCACATGTTTACGACTTGACAAACGTGTACTGACGTGTGACCATGTCCTGTTCGTACCTCTAGGGCCCTCCATTCTGCGATCGGCGACGTTCTTGGAGAAGTGGTGCCGTTTTCCATCAGCGGAAGGTGAGACATTGAATTGCTGTACGAATGGACATTGAAAACTAACGTGATGTTTCACAGTCTGCCTCTGGTTCGCGACATGCAACGTGGTGGCTTTGACTTGACGCTCGTGGGATTTGGCAAGAGCTCAGTGTATCACGGCGACAACGAGTACTGTCTGCTGAGCGACATGAAAAACGCAATGAAGATCCTTGCGCGCACGATCGCGAACGTCGATGCTGCTCAAGAGTGATCGACCAGTAGGACTGGAAACAGTGGCACGTGATGTGTGCCTGCGTATCGTCTGCATCAAGGACAAGTAGTTGTACTGTGAAGGCGCTAGGGATGGACTGCGCTAGCGGTGGTATGAAACGATGAATGAACGCAAGTTGATGCTTGGGAGCAGGTACATGCGAAACGTGTTGATGATGTTGTGTGCTTCACGGACAGTCTATGTATGACGAGACGGAGGCGCTGAAGTCCACCAGCAATGATACAAGGTTTGCATGCTTACCGAGACGTTCACGCAACTTGTTGGCTGTAGACGATTGTATCGCCTTCTGACAATACACGACTGCCTTTGCTGCGACGCGCTTGTTGACGATAGCACTCTGGTCCAAGTTGAGCTATGGTCGAAGACGAGGCAAAGTGTACGAGCTGTTGGCAACGAAGTCCACGTCGACGAAGCATCAGGTTGTGGTTCCGTATGTACCGCACTCACTCCACGACATTTTGCCGGTCGAGCTCGAGCCAAACCGTCATGAACCGAAGCATTGCTGTGTCCCAACTTGCCCAAGACTCGGGCATCAATTCAATGCACTGGATAGCGATGAGGCGTCGACAAAGGCTGCAGCATCTTGACTATGTGACAGTGGTCAATTGCAAGTCGCCATACCAATGCTGGCAAGCAGAATGTAGCTGCAAACATGTCGACAGCAGGTTGCGTTCGGTCAGGCATTTGCTCTGCTCGGGAAGCTTCGACTATACGAGCAGCACAGTGGTGACACAATGACGGTACTTCCACCGCAATTATAAACGCACACGGAGCAGCACAAAGTCTGTCTGGTCCATGCGTCCGCTAAGCTCTCACTCACTTTCCTCGCCTCTCTCTTCTCTCTCATACACGACCGTGCCGTCTCTCTTCACTGCTCGCAGAAAGTATCGTCGATCAATCACTCCCGTGTCGTCCTTACCAGGACTCAACACGACGTTGTTGCTCGACTTGTAAAACTTGATCCCTTCCTCCACGGCCATGGCAAAGTCAATGTACACGAACAAGTTGCAGCTCGCGCGCATGCCACTAACTACTGTGTCGTCGCAGAGGCCGTTGGTCTCGGCAAAGTGGATGTGGTTCCTCTGCATCTTGGACAGTCCCGACGTCCAGATGCTGTCCCAGAACTTGAGGTACGTCCCGTGGACGCACGTTGCAACGTCTCGTGGGTCATCCAACGGTCTCAAGAGCTCCTCGTCTTGCACCAGTTGCAGTGTGTGCCCCTGATTCGCACGGATGAAGAGCGTCCCGACTTCCGCTTCGCTTGTCGTCAAGGAAAAGCGCTTCTTTGCGTCAGTCTGCACCACTTGCTGAACTTGTTGCTCGTTGAACGACTGGAACAGTGGCAGCGCGAGCACTTGAGCCAGAGGCACGAACCCCGACGGTCGCATGTCCAGCTCGAGCTCTTCGGCTCCATGACGCAGAGCGTACGCCAATGTCTTGGACAATCGAACATGAGGCGTATCTGTCTTGCGCCCACAAAGTCGAGTGCGACGATGCCGACGACGTCGCTGTGTGTGCGGAACAGGCGCAGCTGCAGGAGCAACAGCAATCGCTTGACTTGCCATGGAAATGGATGGACAGGAGCGACCGACCGAGACACAAGCGGTTTGCAGTATGCCATACAAATGGTCTGCCTCTTGTCGTCTGTATGCGGGGAATCTTCTGCGAATCAAGCTGTAAGCATGGAACGTGCTAATGTTCGACAATTGCCCAGTTACCAGATGGTGAGCTGGATCACGACGGACGTGCTGTCGGACAAGTGCGTCTCGTTTGACTCGCTGGGACAATGACAAACTCGACAAGTGGAGCAACGATGTAGCGGAAGGCGATCGGCTCGGCGGACGGCAAGTCGCTACTTGGAGAACAGCATTTCGTTGAGGACTACGTCACCAATGTTGTGACAGACAAACGTACCGCAGTGACGGCGTTCGGACCGCCGAGAATAGGAAATTGGTGCCTCTCCTGTCTGGCTTTTCTCGATCATGTGGCGCTTTTGACATCCGGTTAGTCTCATTCTAGTTCCCGTTAATTTGATGGACGCAACTGGATGTCAAAACTGTTTGGTAGGGCCACATCTGCACGGCGAAGACTGCAGTCGCTTGGCAGGGTGTTCTCAAGGACAACGACGGTGGAAGGAGTCTACAGTGTGGCACTTGGTCTTCTATTCGGAATTCAGCTCACGCGCACATGGCCGATATGCATCGCTTTCCAGCATCTCAGGAGTCTCTCCGTACGCTGAACGTACAAGATAATGAAGCAAATGCTCGATGCCGAAGATCAGCAAAGATCGCACACGTCCAGCTCCCGACCCTACAACAATTAGCATAAACATCAGACGCTACATTCTGTTCGAGCGCGACCGCGATGAGTGCTTGTCGAGAGCATGTAGCACCAGGTTACCAATCGTCTTGTGCAGCGCTAGCATACTAATCGTCTTTGCTGAACAGTCTGCATCTTCATACGGTGGCCGAATACTATCCCCTCTTTATTCTACCTTCCTGTTTGACGTTGCAGCTACGAGAGATAAATGCAGCGGATATTTAAGTATAGATGCAAGCACGCCTTCTCAAGACACAACGAGTGCGCTGTGGCCGTACTAAGCACGCACGGAGGACTCCGGTTGGAGCGGGTAAGCAGTGGTCCGTGGTAGCATTCAATGGAAAGCTCACTACTACACAGTTGACGACCCCTGGTCTAGCTGTATGATGCAACATTGATATGTCTAACGCTGGCAAGTTCTGTGGTACTTAGAATTGCGAAAAAGTAAGTAGTACGGCTCTTCGCTTGACGGTAGAGCGAGCTCCCGATATCAATTCTCCTGTTCACATCACTTTATGTGGTTCGTCTCTTTCTCTTTTTGTTAATGGAGTAGCTGCGACGTTTGGTAAGAGACAGGAGCAGCCGCCAGCTTTCATGGCTCACATCCTTCTCGTCAACACGTAAACAACATACACAAATTCATTCACCATCCAGCGACAACAATGCTGTGGCAAGTGCACATCACAACTATCAGCTCATCCTCCAGCTACTACCCTCAAATATCCGAAAGCAATACGCAAACATCTCCCAAAACTGATCGACGTCTGGACAGAGTGACTTGTACCGAATCGCGAGCTTCGTCGTTACTATTCTATCTTGACAACACTGTTTGCACCCTCTTGATGAATGCCAGACACTGTTTCGAGCTTATGTCGAATCGAGATCGCACTTCTCGATCTTCATGTCGCCCATAGCTGCTTTTTTTGCGAGCAAGGACATGTCAACAATACCCGTGAGATCTTGGCAGGTTGTGCTCAACATTGTCATAGAGCTAGCTAGCATCGTTGGTCTAGCGTTGAAAAGTTTTTCTTGCATATGACCAATCGACGCTACCAGCACGATCAACATCACGCATTCCTCTTGTTTAGGTCGTCGTATGTTGAGTCACCTTCGGTCTCTTCACGAAGGATGTCGGCCCTGATGATCGATTCCGACAGAGGGATCTCCAGGTACTCCACAGTGTTGACACGACTCTGTTTCAGCAATCCGTGGTCCTCGAGGCACTTGACCGAGTTTTTCATCGCCAGCGGCGTAGCATGCAACAGCTTTCGACGACACGCCTCGTACACTGACTGATATGGTGCATGCATGCCTTTGAGCTTTCGGCTGCCTCGTTTAGTCGAAGCGGACGCCGCGAGCTGCTGGCGCGCTAGCTCCTGCAGCGTCGCCACATCCGTTGGCGTGAGACTCTGTAGGATGAACTTGACGCCATTGCTTGTAGCATCCGCTGTCTTCGACCGTTTAGTCAGCCTTAGCTCGATCTCGTCCGTATACGGCTCGCACGTATCGAGCTTCTGACTGAGCCACTCGAATCGATCAAAGTCCTCTTCTTTCCAGATAGAAGGGCCATTGATATGGTCCATGGATGCAGCAAGCGAGATGAATGGGGCTTTCGCGAGCCAACTCAAGCACGTCTGAGTTTCCGGGTGACGTAGCGCTAGGCCGTCAATCGAGTGCACAATCAGGTACACTTGCAGCACGTGCTGCGACGATGACGACGGTCTCGTCAACGCAATGTCTCGACACTATCATACAACCAAAAGTACACACACCAGAAAACTGAGAAAGTCACGTGCGGATACGCTGGCAAAGAATATCACAAGCCGGTGCGCGATACCTGTCGAACAAGCGACTGGTTCGGCTTTGCTTCAAGGTGCAAGATCTGGCACGGAACGAGTAACTCCATGACATCAGTACTTCTTTGCCAGTCTTTCGATCTGAGGCGACAGAAGACGATAGAAGCTCGACCGCTACCTCCCTCACCTTTTCCTGAATCGTTTCGACCACATACTTGAGCGAGACGAGCGACAAGTAGCCATGTACCTGGATCACGACACTGTCACTCAAGCACGAAGCCGCAAAGTTCTACAACAACAACAGCAGCAGCAGCAGCAAAAGCACAGCAGTTGTCAGTAGTCGTCACATGAGCACAACGTTCAATAGCTCAAATTCGAGACGACAGCCTCTTTCTTTCGGACTTGCAAGAGGGCGAGTTTCGACCCGACACCGTAAAGCAGCAGGTTGTAGCCCGCCAGGACCTCACTCTTCCACGTTGCAAAGTGCTGCTCGAAACGTGTGCTCACTGAGGCCCCAACGCGCTCGTTGTCGCGCGCTCGTAGTTCGGCAATCACTTGTTGCGGCACGGGCACTTGCAGTGCACGTACGTGTCCCTTCTCTTGTGCGATTCCGTCGTACCCACTTTGGGCCTGCGCCAGAAACAGCTGCTGGTCGTCCTGGTGCACAGCCGGTCCGTCTTGTTGCGCTGCCTGAGCCACCACAGCCACTCGTTCGTCTCGAGGCGCAGGTTTCGTCTTGCGCGGTACGCGCTGTCGGATGCGTTTCGACGTAAAGTACGCGTTGGCCGATGCGGTTCCGAGCTCAATGCCCGTGGGCGGCTCGCTCTGCTTTTGCCGGAAACGCGCGCGCAGACCGTTTGGACTCATGCAGAGCTCTGCTGCCACTTGCAGTGCGTGCGGTATGAGTAGGTGACAGGTCGAGAGCGAAACGCGTGACAAGTACGGACGTACGTATACGTACGTCCGTTTTTGGTCACATGGGAAGCGTCGTGGAACATATGCGCGTTCTTATGTACAATATCGACCAGGCTCCAAATAATATCTGGACAAAAGCTCATTTCATGTTATGATCGGATGCGCACTACATATGGAATGGGTGTGTGGCAGGGGCAGTGGTAATTGTACTGATTTACGAAATGATACAGGCAATGAAGACACGTCAAAGATTTGCCTGCGTATGCGACATCATTCGACCCACGTTTCAGCGTTTTTACGTGTAAAGTACGCACCGTACGCTCCGTTTTCCCACGGCGTGGTCACTACGCTTTCTAAAAGTATCGAAATGACATGGCGCATGTACTGGCGGTCCTCTTTTGCATACGTCTACCGCATTCTTTCGTCGCCGTAGCTCATTGTCAAACGAGCAGGTCGGACCGTAAACCTGAGCTCCAGATGGCCCCACGCTCACAGTCGGCCGAGACGTCCCCGACCCAAACGAGCCGCAGGAAGTTCCAGTATACGCCTACCGGATAACACTCGTCCTCGTTCCCGGCTCCGCCAATCAGCAAACGCTCCGCGACCGACCCGCACATTCTGTCACGGCCACCACAACAATTCAAGTCAGACATGGACTGCAAGTGCCCGTCACGACGGGACGCGTCAGCGCAACAAGTGGCACCCGACACGCGACGGCATCGACCGACAAATGGCAACCAGAGGTCCGCTACGGTCAGCAGTAGCACTAGTGCCAGTAGCAACGGCCCGCGCAGCTTCCACCGGCGCCACTTGCCACAGGAGTGCATCGCGTTCTCGAGTCCCGAGGGCCGTCAGCTCTTTGTCGAGGCCGTGACGCGCACAGAGCCGACGAACTACATGCAGATCTACTTCCCACTGGCCGAGCAGTTCACGACGCAGGCTGAGCCGGCGTTCTGCGGCCTCGCGACGCTCGCCATGTGCCTGAACGCGCTCGGGGTCGACCCGGGCCGACGCTGGAAAGGCCCCTGGCGCTGGTTCAGCGAAGAGCTCTTTGACTGCTGCAAACCGCTGCTCGTGGCCAGGGAACAGGGCATCAACATGGCCGAGTTCACGTGCCTCGCGCGCTGCAACGGCGTCGCGACCGACGCCATTGGTGCCACGAGTGCGTTTACGCTCGCGCAGTTCCGCGCGATCGTCCAGCGCAGCTGCGCCACGAGCACTGAGATCGTTGTGCTCAACTACAGCCGGCGGGTCTTGGGCCAGAGCGGCGACGGGCACTTTTCGCCCATTGGCGGGTACCACGTCGAGCGCGACCTCGTGCTGCTGCTGGACGTCGCGCGGTTCAAGTACCCGCCGCATTGGGTGCAGCTCTCGCGCGTGTTTGACGCCATGCAGTGTGTCGACGCGTCGGTGAACGCCCCGCGCGGGCTCGTGGTGCTGACCAAGGGCCCATCGGTGTGGAACGGCGTCGACACGTGTGAAGCAGCGGCCGCAGTGTATTCGCTGCGACGGACGGACGGCAGTGGCGGCGGCGACAGCGTATCCAGTTCGGCGGCCGTGTTGTAGCACAGCAGAGCAGCGGTAGAGGCAGAGACTAAACTACTAGTGGGGTGGGGTGGGGGGGACGCGACGACAGTGACGTCGGTTTGCATGGAGGACACAGTCGGCATTTCTAGTGGATGTGAACGTCGCGGACGAGATCGACGTCATGTATTGCCGACATTGCGGTGCGGCGCAGTGGTGAAGAACGTCGTCTCATGGCCGAAGAAGGCGCGTGGCGGGTGTGCTGTACGCTTGACGTCGTACTAAGCTGCTGCATGCGCATCTAAACTGCTGGCTGTGGATTTGCACACTGCATAGCTAAACTGGATTCGATTTTGCTTTTTTGGTGCTCGCGTTACTTGGGATGGAAGACGCTGGCTGACTTTACGCTTGCGTCGGTCGAGCTGGCCAAGCGACGGTGGTCGGTGGAGCGCAACGTTGTGTATGTGCGAAAAGTCGCTTTTTTCGAAAGGACATGTCGTCAGGAGAGAGGGCTTCATTCTGCGTGATGTTGCTTGCACCTTTGTCGAACCTTCTCTACTCATTCTTTATTTCAATGGAAACAACATTCGTCATCTACTTTCTCAGTAGAAAAGCACTATTTGCAAGACTGCCGTTTCGGTCACATAACTAATTATACATGAACATCTGGTATACTTACTTGTACAACTCGCGCCTCGCACTTATACCAATACACTATCCCGCTGCTCCCCTTCCATCGACGCTCCGCTACTCTGCGTCTCGTGGATCTGACATAACAGACCGCGCCGAACAGCTCGGGAACAATTGGGGTGTTGACACCGCTTGCCGCCGCCATGAGAGATACAAAAGCCGTTGCCGCGATCTTTCTTCTCGCACGTGCCGTACTGGCACTTGCGGATGCCGCCGTGCACGTAACAGCGGCCTTTGCGCTGCTGGCCGCGTGTGCAGCCTGGGAACTCGCAGCGTTTGCCGCCGCCGTGGGCGCGGCAGAAGCCTCCGCCTTGCGAGCTCCGCGCACACCCACCAGGTCCTGCGTACTGACACCGGGCCCCGCCCCCGTGAGCTTTGCAGCGACTATTGGACTGCGCCCGTCGCGTGCAGTCAGCTTCGATGCATTTCTTTCCTTTGGTCGTCGCCGCGACGCAGCTGCTTGAGTGAACAGCAGTGTGTGACGAGCGGGCAGGCGACGCGGTCGCTGCGGTTCGGGCGGCTTTCGCCGCGCCTTTCGTGCTGCTACTGCTGCTGCGGTCTTTTTTGCTCAGCCGCGCACGCTTCTGTCGAGACGCCAACAGCGGGAGCGGCAGACCAAAGTCCGTCGACACAATGAGCTCCTTGAGCGCTTTGCTGGTCAGCGAAGAAGGCGGCGAGATCGTCACGGACAGCGGGGAGGAACGCACGTGCAATGTCTTGCGTGATGGCTCGAGCATTGGACTTGCGCGGTGGCCGCTGCCTGCCACAGTAGACGCACTGCGCGTCGTCGAGGTCCACAGACCAGGCGCTGCTGCCACTGTTGTTGACGATGTTGTTGATGTTGCATACTGGGCCGCCTGTCTTTCCGTTGAAGTTGCCGTTGAGGTTGAGGTTGAAGTTGGTGCTACTCCAGCAGCGTTGAACCTGTCGACAGAGCCGGGACTTGATTGGTGGATATCGCCTCCTCCTGTCGTCACGTGCATCATGTGCTTCATCAGAGTGCAGTCGCTGGCAGTGCGCGCCCAGAGGCGTCGAGACGTCTTCCTGTATCCACGGGTGCGCCGCTACTGGCGCGTAACTCACAAACGCACTGGTGCCGCTTGTTGCGTCGAACCCGATCGGGACACTCACGTTCATCGGGACGCTCGCCAGCAGTTGTCCCCTCGTGGCGTCGAGAGTGTAGCCATGTCCGAGAGTAGTAGCACTAGACCCAGCAGTAGTCGGTACGATCCCACTCCGTCTCGGGCGATACGACGACTGGTGATAGCTCACGGCGTCGGTGCAAAAGCCGCCGTCTTTCACGTGCACGTCGCCATGCAGTCGCGGCAACTCGAGCGGCTCCAAGAGCAACGACGTTGTCGGGCTGCTCGAGAACAACTTGCCGCCCCCGTCGTGCTCGCACTTGAGCCCCGAGGCAAAGTCGGGGAAGTCCTGGTCGTTGAGCATCTGATTGAGCACGTCGTCGTCGTGGAGCCGCACAAAGAGCGGGGCGTCGTCGGCCGTGAGTGGCTGAAACGGCGCGTGGAGCTGCGAGAAGGCGATCCCGCCGCCCAAGAGCGAGTTGGGGGGCGCGGGGACAAGGGCGCTCGAGTTGAAGTTGCCGGTGCAACTACCAGTGCCCGTGCGTGCGTGGACTCGACCGCGCGACGACGATGGCAGTGACGACGAGGGCGACGAAAAGACGCTCGACGGCACCGCGACGCTGTTCGACCGCATCTCGGGTGAGAACAGCGATTCAACAAATGCCACTTCGTCCATGAGAGGTACACTGCTGCACACAGGGGGCACGAAAAGCGCGCGTGGAGCTCGAGACAGCGGGGATGGAATGGCAGCGGTTTCCCCGTTGAAGTTGTGCGGGACGGCGGCGAAAAAAGACGAGCGCAGGGGCCGAACTGGAGGATTGAGCGCAACATGTCTTGATGTTAGTATGGGCCGAAGAAGAAGGCGCAGAAGAACATGGCCGAGGAGGAGCGAGGGAAAGAGAAGGCGTGAGAAAAAAACGGAACGATTAGTCGCGTACCTGATTTTTTCGCTTGCAGGCGGACGGACGGTGGGTACAGCCGCCAAGTACGTGTTCAAGTCCACCCTTTGGTGTAGGTGGATGGATGCGTGGGAGAGACGTGGGTGGTTGCGCAGGTAGGACCTGGCTGGTGTTGACGTTGCGGTGGCTGTTGTTGACGTGGCGGTGGCTGTTGCTGTGATTGTACGCCGTCTTCTCCTTTTTCTTCTTCTTCTTCTTCTTCTTCTTCTTTTGCGTCTGCTGGTGCTGGTGACTAAAAAGCGCCAGAGGGGCAGATCACTTGCTTTCGCGGAGGAACGAAGTGTGACTGTGTCCGCGGCGACACGCGCGAGCGCTGTGCTCGTCCAACAAGAAAAAGCGAGCGACAAACAGGTTATTTGGGTGCCGCAGCTGCCACTCGGAGACCGTATGGTCGCGGCACATGGCGCCGAGCAGGGGATCAGCTTGAGGCGCACATATGTGGCAACGGACAGGAGAAATTGACGTCGGCGAGCGACGGCGCGATGATGGAAAACCAGGTGCCTCGCGGCGAGATCGTATAAGAGCGCAAGTACGTGTACGTTGATTGAAGCGCGTTAGGTGAGGAGGCAAACGGGATGCGGTCGTGACTCCCCGCCCCTCCCAATGGCTTCCCTCGCCAGCCGTGGAAGACTGCTGCAGTCTGGCGCAGCGAGTTCGACTCCACGACCACATGAGGGCTCGTGTTTACCAGACGCGCCAGCAGCAGCTCTTGTATCGACATTGAGTGGCTCAGTCTCGTTCTTCGTTCGAGGTATGTCGGCAGGCGGCAGGCGTTGCTGTTTCCCTTTTGGTGACCCCTTTAGCACCTGAGCGTCCGCGCCTTTCTTCTCGGTGGCCTTGTCGGTTACGACTTGAGGGCGGCACAAACGGGAAAGGGCCTTTTTGATGCAGGCTTCGGCACAGACCGGCGGGCTTTTACTGGAGACAAAGCACCTCCAGTGTGTGTGTCCCTTCAGTGCGACATGCAACAATGGCAGCAGACCTGCTCCGACATGCCCGACCAGCTGCGTGGTGGGAGGGGGGACTTCCAGATCATCTCGATGAGGCAGCGACCGCGTCGTGCGAGATGAGGTGACGTCGACGGGCGGCGGACGTCACCCCATCTCGCGCGACGTGATTCTCGCGCTAGGATGATGAGCTGCCGTGTTCGGTGCTCAGAGCTATTGGTCGTGCTTTTACTACTCTGTGCCCACTTGCGTGGCAACGTGGATTGATAAACTGACAGACTGACCGATATACCGATAGACCGATAGACAGATAGACAGATAGACTGGCAGACTGGGAGACTGACTGATAGGCTGACAGATATAGTGATTGATAGGTTGATGGGCTTACAGTTCCGAAGGACTCCTCCAGCCTCTTGCCGCTGCTATAAGCACTACTGAAGCGTACGGTGCGACCGACGCGTCTTCTGACAGGTCGGTCCATCACATCTTTGCACTGCGCGTGCGAATCCCCGCGCCTCAATCGCGTCCGCCTGTCGTACAAAGGAGACTCACGTAGCTCTCGCCCCGTGGGGTGCAACGATGCAGCAGGTCTACGTCGTGGGTATGTAACACCGGCCGGCTGGATAGTCTGCGGCCCGGCCCGGCCCAGCCCAGCGTCGTGCAGTTGGTTGCGTGTCCAAGACCGGCAGGCGACAGACGAGTCGACGTTGCCGTTCTTCTTACAAGTGGCCCGGCGTGGCACGCGTTTCCATCACGCAGGCTGTGTCGACCGTCGCAGGAAGCCCGAGGTCTGGCCACGACAATCCCACGTCGCTTATCTTTTGTTGACCGACTGGCGCTAGCGCCAGCCCCGTCTTGCCATCGACCCCATCTCTCAGGAGCTGACACACTTGCAGTGCACAACATCTCAGTTCTTATTTGGAGCTCCGCGCTAACATGACGGGCTTTTTCTCCAGTCAGTCAGTCAGTCAGTCAGTCCAGTCACAGGCAATGCTAATGCTACGTACGCCACACCAGACTACTTCAACAGCGACAACGCAACACCCCCCGAGCTCCTGCGCCCTTTGGCACACCACAAGTTGGCTGCATCGTGCACTACAATGCGTGCGTTACCCCTCGAAGGCCTCCTCTTTCCGTCTGGTAGGTCTCTTGGCAGCAATGACATGTATCAGCAGCAGCAGCCACTGCGCACGAGAGCCTTTCCGATGCAAAACCACTAGAACGCGCCTGACCCCGCCTTTCCAATGTACACTGTCGGGCGGGCCTTTCCACGGCGCAAAGTTGCCCAGAACTCGGCGTGAGCTAATCCCGAGGTGCAACTCCACACGTTGACCGGCCGCTGTTCGTTCAAGAAGTAGGCGTGAACGTCACACACCAGTTGGGAAGTTTCGCCACTTGCTGGGCCGCACACTTGGCACGTGTATCGACGTTTTGTCATCCGCATGGCGATGGGCTCGCAGCAGTTACGCGGGACTCACTTCTACGATTTGCCGAGCAGGTCCCGCCCCGTCAAGATCAGGTCGCTGCTTTCAGGGGAAAACGCACTGCGCTTCGCGTGTCCACGTCGTTCACCGGATCGATATACTTTGCTGAGTCCGTTTTGCTCGTTTCGCTATGTCTCTCTCTCGTTCGTTCATTTGTATCGATGAAAGGATCGCCGGCGTTTATCTTGTTGTTGTCGGAGTCGGCATCTGTTGCACTTGCTTCGAGCAACAGTTTGACCGACCGACCAACTGCTAGCAGCTACTACTCCTGCCTACACTTGCGGTCAGGAGAAAAGAAAAAGATAAGAGCACCGAGCACCTGGACGGCCTTTTCCGCCCGCCTCTCCTTTCCGCGTGCTCGCCTTTTGCACGACGGGCATATGTTTGAAGATCGCTTTGTCCTCCTCTCGTACCGACACGCCGTGTGTGTGTGTGCGGGTGGGTGTGGGGGGGATGCAACCTGCCAAACCGTTTGCCATCTATCTCCATGTCAAGCGAGACCTTTCTCTGGCCGAGCACGACAAGGAGCAACAATGGCACAACGCCCGCACGCGCGCCCGCCGTCTGACCGAAAGCTCCCTGTTGCCAGTACGGCACTCAACGGATCATCCCGCGAGCTCACGACGAGACGCGCGGACGAAGGGGACGACGACGGGTCTGTTGTGGTCGGCTGCTACTACTGCGACTGATGTTGCTACGGCTGCTACTGCTGCTGCGACTGCGACTGCCTCGTTGCTCATCGCGGCACGACCGGCGGCCTCACTTCGTGCAAGTCGCACGGTCATTTGAAGCAGGTGCCCGCACTTGCCCCACGTGGCAAAAGACCTCATTTGATCATTTGTCGAGTTTCGAGCAACGAGAAACAGACCATCTGCTGCGCGCGACACGGACTGGCCACTCGGTAGCACGCTCTGAAGTTTGCGTCCGCGGCTCGTTTACGTCCGTCGTCGTTGTCGTCCCTTTCCGCATTCGCCGTCAGCTCACCTCGTTTTGACCGACCACAAAGCCGCCACCGCCGCAGTCGAAACAACAGACACTCTCACACAAACACACACACACACACACACTCCTCACACGCGCAACCGACCGGCAGACAGCCATTTAGACACTCCCTCCGTCAGACAGTCCCCGTCAGACAGACAGAGCGACCGATCGACCGACAGAGCGACCGATTGACCGACTGTCAGTGAGTCAGTCACTTGTCATTTCGAAATCCGGCGAGCGCTCAGCACGGCAGATTACGTCCCCCTGCGCCACGTTTTGCTCTCGTAGCAATCGTATTGATCCCCTCCGCCGCTGACCCACTCACTCACTCAACGACCCGCCTCAGCATGTTGGACTCGTGTCTCCGGTCGCCCGCCTCGCCCGTTGATTCCGCCATGTTCCCGCCCGTGTACAACCGCTCCCTGTCGTCGTCGTCGTCGACCTCCATATCGTGCGACGCCCCCGCCAACGACAACAGCAGCTCCACGGGCACCACCGGCATCCCCAACCACATCAACCACTACCGCAGCTACGACCTCATCCACTCGAGCGTCTACTCGACTGGCGCGAAGCCCCTGAGCAGCTCCGCGTGCCTGAAACAGCACGACCTCGAGCCCTTTGAGTTCCGGGCGCCTTCAGCTGCCGTGCCGACCCCGCGGTCCCACGCCGGCACGTCGCTCAGCTCGGTCTTTGGCGACCAGGACCTCATTGACGCCATCATGTGCAGCCTCAACGCCGAACAGGCCAACCACATGAACCACCACCCCCCTACAGCGCCGTCAAGGCCGTCTCCAACCCACTCTTTAGCCTCAACTTCCCCGCCCCCCGACGCCTCCAGCAGCAGCAGCAGCCGAAGCGGCCGCAGTCGTTCACGGCGCTCATGCAGCAGCGGCCGCTCGGGGGCAGTCTCTCGGCCGCCTCCAGCAGTAGCGGCCCCTGTCTGCGCAAACCCGGCACGTTCCTCAACAAAGACGGCCGCTGGATCAAGGGCAAACCCTGTCGCATGGACAGCTGCGACAAGCGCGCGCAGTCCAACGGCCTGTGCAAAGGCCACGGCGGCGGCGCGCGCTGCAGCTTCTCGGGCTGCAGCAAGTCGTCCCAGGGCGGGGGCTTCTGCCGCGCGCACGGCGGCGGCAAACGCTGTCTCTACGACGGCTGCGAGAAGGGCACGCAGCGCAACGGCTTTTGCTACCTGCACGGCGGCGTGCGGTCGTGCAGCGTCGACGGGTGCGAGAAGAAGGACCGCGGCAACGGCAAGTGCTTCTCGCACGGCGGCGGCCGCAAGTGTCAGGCGCTTATGTGCTTCCACACGATCCGACGGGGCGCGTTCTGCGACGTGCACAATGAAAAGCTCAGGAAGCAGTAGAAGAGGGAAGGAGGAAGAAGAGAAGACGACGAAGCAGAAGCAGAGGAAGAAGAGGGGGAGCAGTGTGCTCGAGGAAGAGGAGGGGGAGGCCGCAGGATGTCTGCAGCAGCAGCAGCAGCAGCAGAGACACTTAAGTTAAGAGCCCGGCACTTGGTCCGAGGCGACCGTGGCGCGTTCGTGATCATATAACACCACTTGTATGCAGTACATGTAAACGGTATCGAAGGAAATACTGCCTTTCACACTCACGCGACTATGTATGTCGTCTCGATCGATCCTCTGTCCTAATCTCCTCTATCTCTTCGATTGTCTCCAGCCCGACACGTACTGTACGCGACAGTGGTGACGCGAGTTGACGTGCACGGTGCGGCTGCTGCTGCTGCTGGACCGAGGCGAGGCGACGTGGGGCTAATCCCACGACTGCCGACGCAGAGCCGGGCGGGGCTTCTTATCTGGCCAAGAAGTTCCATATCATATCAACGATCGTGGGCGCGGAAGACCATCTGGTGGCAGACTGGATGGCGCAACTGCTGCAAGTTGACGACAGGGCGCTCGACAGGATCGGCGGCTGCACCAGATGGCGACGAAAGGTGTACGACCGCCCGGGCGCGAGGCAGCTGGTCGTCCAATCGGAACATCTCGGACGACGACTCGCGAAGGGGAACCGTCTGAAGACGACGACGACGACGGCAGCGAGGCGACTACTGCCTTTTTGTGAGGTGCAACACGGGCGACAATACTGCGCTATTGTTTGGGTTGCTATTGCGGTTGCTATTGCTACGACGACAGCTGCTGCAGCTCTAGTGCACGTACCTTCGAAGGAGCGATCAGCAAACACGTACGCGGGCGAAGGAGAACGCACTTCTGTCTGAAGGGCTTAGGAATACATACCAGTCAAGTCTGCAGGTTGATACGCACAACGTGCGGCTGAAACGTCGCAACTGCTTGAAGCGCAACGTGTCGATGTGGTGTCAGACACGTCGGTCGGTCACGTGACACAGTTGTGCGCGTGACTGGACCAACTGCCGTCCGAGTCGCGCGTGATCCTTTCGGGACATCATTTCCACGACGTCACGACTTGCGCACGTTGCTCGAGAGCCATAGAAAGGGAGTGAACGTGGACGACTGAAGTCGAGTCGCCCGGTAGGTACAGCGATGCGATGGTACGGACTGGAGACGTGACGACGGACGTGGGACGTCTACTGTGAAGACAGTTGGGGGCCTCTGATGCGATCGGGTCGAGGGTCGAGCACACAGCGTGTGGATTTCTGTCGTTCGTTCATTCGCTGCGAGTGTTCTTGGTAGGCGACGGATGCAGTGCTTTCACACACGCCGCCATTAGTTGGTCAGTACTGGAGGAGAGGGAGGGAGAGGTCTTTTTGGGCAATGACACTAACGAGAGACATGCAGCGTTCGAAGCACATCCCCGCTCATGTATGGATATCTCGGGAGCGTGCGTCGTGCCTCAATAGCGAATCCACACGTCCTCGTGGCTTGCAAGAAACAGTCGTGTCGTGTGCGGATTGTGAACGCGGCATCAATTGGCGGCCGCGTCAGTGCTGCTATATAGGAGCAACGAAGACAACGGATGACCACCTTCTGGACACGCCGTGCGCACACGATCGCTGCATGAAGCGTAGAGCTCATACGGCACTCACTGGATACGAGAGTCGTCGAAGTCAGGACACATGCGCGTTTTCCTCGCACGTTGTGTGCACACGGGCAGTCATTGAAGCTCTCGAAGCGAATGTCAAGGCGCATCTACTTGGAGGCTCTTCCGTCTCGAACACACCTTCGTCTGAGAGCGACTGTGGCATGTTCTGAGCAGCAATTGCATCACTAGCTCGTGAATGGACACGACCGCAAAAGACTGACGATACATACATTCAATAGGCTTGAGAGACAAGTCGGCCGTCCGCCCTGCTCCCGCTCTTTCTGTGGCGGAAGCGCTCTTTGGATTACGTGCCTCCGACCCGTTATCTATTGAGGATGTCTGTTTTTCGCCACATCCATCTGCTGCTGCGAAAGTTCGCGCACCGCTGCCGTCAGACAGTCGTGCTGTTGACTGCTTCGCAAAGACGCACCGATGACCTAATCATGTGGATTCTCCTTGTTGAAGTCCTGTCACACAGTAGGACGGAGCGAGCCGAGGTCAGGCCTGACCTATCCACAAGCGACAGGGGGCCAGTGCGGGCCCAGAAGGCACAACAGGAGGCGCACGCGCTGTTGCTTCTTGTTGAGTCACGGACGGACTACTACGGCACGTGGATACGTGCCCTAGCCACGGGCAAAACAGTGAACGGATGTCTCGGCACGTCGGTCTCCCGCGCCACTCATGGCCGCGGTCGTTAGGATCGTTGGAAAGAGGCAAAGCTCTGTTTCGCGACTTGACTTGACTTGGCTCTGCGCTTGAGGGCCTTTGCATTGACTATCGTACATGACTCAAGGACTCGTTGAAACTGTATTGAACATCGGCTGCTACTGCTTTTGTACACGGACTTACGTCATAGTTACGCTGCGGTGCTTGACGATCGATCTGCACGCGGAGCGCTGCTGTTTAACGTTGTGTTCGCGGCACTACAGCGCATCTGTGCCTGGCTGACAATCTACCGTGACGATGCGACTGCAGTCGAAGCTTCGAGTCAGTCATTGCAAACTTCCTGATCGATGCTTTTCAACGCCGGCCATGTAAATACGATGGTACATCAAGACATAGATGCACACTCGTTGCGTCGTGCGCTTCGTCACCGTCAAGTCGTGACGTTAGCTCGATGCGCTGCGTTTCTTTCGAGTCGTTCGAAGATTTGGGACCAAAGCTGTCAGCGCCTCGCTTTCCAGCCTCCATCAGCCGACAGATGCGGAGCCAAGCAAACACTACGTACGACGATGGCAAGTAACCATTCTTGCCGCAGCTATTTGCCTGCTAAACATCATTCATTGCTTCCAAGAGCTGAAACTCACAGCCGTGAACTTGTTGTTGTCGAGCCAGGTCGGTCGACCCCCGAACATCTTACACGCAAGTGTGCGTGATTTCAGGATATACTGCAACCCATGTCGTATCGTCGATTTCGCAATGACACTTCTCTGTCGTCGTGGGACAGAACGCGAGTGACTGAAAGGTTTGCAGCGAGCGGCACCCCATCATGCAAATACTACACTTACATATGAGCAGCAGTCGCTGACGAGCACAGATACGCTCACTGCGATAGTGGGACACATCAAGCGCAACTACATCGCACTCTTGCAGGTTGTCATACCTGTAACGGGGCACACCCTTGCGTAACTTAACGCAAGGGATTTGGGTGCCCCGACGGACGTACACGTGGCGAGCGAGGAAGCGTAGGTAGGGTAAAAGTAGAACTGTTATATTAATAAATTAAGTCTTTAAACTACTGTCTCTTCGTTTGACTTAATTCAATTATACTAATATAACTGCATGTATGGTGACGTCTCGTCACCACTCATTGCGCGCGTCTTGCGGCGATTGGTGGGTTGATATCATCACGATATCAACCAATGAACAGACCCTTCTGGTCGACCCTTCAATATCACCGCTTCGGTGATATTGTTTAAAGAATATCCATCTTTATATTCTTTATTGTCACTTTCCTTAAGTGACAATATTATGTAACGGGCTGCCCCGTTACATCACCCCCCCTTAACTGATAGTCACCGTGTGACTATCGAAATATGGAGGCCACCCGTTGGCCACCATTGGGACAGGGAGCACTTGTTTGGTCCGTTCCACTCACTTTCCGCTTGACCTCGCATAGTTAACATGTCTATGCGAGGTGACTCAAGACCCACACAGCCTGGTGCTGTGCAAGCCTCTGCGGCAGACGCTTCGTCGTCTGCCGCCCCTTCTTCGCCTGCAGCAACAGGTGCTGCAGGTGCACGCGGTATCACGCCGCGTGCGCATGATGACCCCGATGTGGAGGTCATCTACTCTGGCGAGTCAGACGTGTCTGACTCGGGCAATGCTCCAGAGGCGTCTCGCTCACCGGCGACGCCTCAGTATTCGCCAAGGCCACTGCCGAACGAACGGACTCGTGAGTTGCATCACAGTCTGTTCGGCAGTGATGACGATGATCAGGGTGGTGAGTATCTTTGCTCATCACCGAATCGGCTCGTGCGTCCTTCGCACGAGCGTGATGACGATGGTGCGAGCCGTCGTCAATCTGGGAGCCGTGGTACCAACAAGGGTACCACTGTGAAGCGTGATGAGTTGAAGCCGTGGCGTTTGCCCGAACAACTCATCAATAGCCTGTCTCACGAGACAGGCCAACACCATCGAATACCCTTATTCGATGCAACCGAGCTTCACGGCTTGAGTCCCAGCGCGAAGAACTTTCGCGCTGAAGAAGACTTTTATCTCGATGTCTTCCTTAGACATCGATGGTACAATAGCAACCAAAAGCGTGACAAAACATCGCTTTTGGCTGCGTGGAACGCGTTCGTCCAAAACGTCAAGAATTTTGGACGAGAGGGGTGGCTCAAGAAACTTGAGGCAACACGCCTCAGGTTCGAACGGCGAACGCCAACCGGTGCTAGGTACCGGTTGCATTGTTTATCGAGTGAGGCAGGCATTCCTTGCCTCACATGGGGAGACCCTTGTGCGAGTTGTGTTGACAACTCGCAGCGTGCACATAGGGATGTGTACTCCCTAAATTCGCCCTGGGGAAGGGCACATCTCTCGGAGGAGATGCGTGACGCGATTGCAAACTTGCAATCCGTCTACAAGCGCCTAGGGCGCGTGTTTACCGATGGGCCACAGGACTCATCGGATGGGTCTCGTCATACTGGTGGACGAGACCTTCAACATCCATTAACAGCTGAGAGCGGGGCTCCCAGCTGTTCCAAGAGGGTGGATACCCCCGCCACTGGACGAGGTAGCTCGTCCTTGATCCTGAATCGTCACGGTGATTCAAGATACGCTCCACTAGAAAGCGTTGATCACCGTGAGCATCCACCAAAGGATGTGGTGGAGGAGGAAAGACCTC